AGATTGGAACCCGCCGAATAGAATCTCCGAAACAACGGACAGCGCGCGGCTTCATCCTACTGGGCAGAGTATGTGACTGTAAAGCCTGTTTTGAGTGGGCGCGCTTGCGAACACATTCTGAAATTCTGGTTGGTGGTTGACTGAAAAATGATGGAGTGAAAGTCAGTCGGAATGATGACATTCCCAATATATGGAAAAAGAAAATTCATGTTCCAAACCACCAACCAGATATTATAGATAATACTATACCCATATGCTCCATGGTGCTGGAAAACAGTTACCAACATCTACCAACCATAAATGGCCCAAATGTAGCTAAATTAATCTTGAGTCATGTTTACATCCACAATTCGCCGTAGAATTCGTGAGTCAACCAGGGATTGAACGGGGGCAACTCATGGCGCCCGGGCTGGTTGCACAACCAACTCACGAAACGTGGGCAGGCGATATTCTTCCGTCGGCAGATCTGGGGCAATGAGGATGGGGCACCCAAATTTGGGATTTATGAGTTATACAGTTAAGGCCCTTTACCAGTTATAAGTACTTATAACCCCATTTATAGAATGTATAATCCCGTTTATAAACAGTTATAACTAATAAATGGCCATAACTGTAGAATACTGTAGATATTTATGGTGTTTTGATGATGGTTCTATAGTGGGATACAGTGGGGATCTACTGGTTGCAACCATTAAACTAGTTGTTACTGATAATTTTTAGGGGGTCGCTGTAAATTTTTCCCATCATCTAATTCTGAGATTTAGAACGAAGACTATGGAGGGTAGGAACCCAACCACATTGGGAACTTTTGGAAAAATGTTTGGAAAATGTCATGGGGTATATAACCAATCGTGTGATATGGGTGTCTGAAAATGAGGTATAGTGACCATTTGGAGAGGGAAAATAAGAATTGTTCAATCATGCACTGGATTTGGGGGTCACAAACTTTCAGATGAATCCGAATGGTACACTTGGGACCATAACGGATGTGTGAAACACAGGATCGGGCGCTTGAAATGGGACGATTACCTCCCCATACATGAGGTCGGCTAGAGCAGTGCGGCCTGATTTCTGATGATTTCATGAATTACAAGGGTCAAAATTACTGGGAAATGTTAGTCCTATTACAATTTGTTTTATCGTTCATTTTACAAAACGTATCCTTCTCATGGCGATGCTCCATGTATGGAACATGTACCAACATTTATACCAAACATGGCCCAAATGCCGGTAACATTTTTTGTATGTTTACCCCAGATTAACCTACAGTTTTTCGTACAGCTTAATCTACATTATCATTCTTGCAATGTTGCAGTGGGAGGGAAACCATACCCTTAGAAGTTTCAAGAAGGACTTGAAAACCAAACAACCACAGAGTACCACTGAGACTGCGGCCAGGTAGATTTGATGACTGTCATACTCACAGCAACTTCTCACCTCAGCGGGTTGGAGAGCAGTCTGACAGCAATGCCAAGCTCAGGACACTGAACAAGGAACCTATGGATGCCGCACCAAGGTCCGTGGAGTGTTGGATTGCACGCATGATTTTATTTTTGGAAGTAAAATCAAATGTTCAAGAGAACAGGTTGATGGTGTCAAAATCATTGAAACTATATATATATATGATTATATATGTGTATATATGTCAACTCCCGATCATCATCGTAGTGTGAATGAACAAAGATGCAAGGGAAATAATGAATGTTGTTTAAACTGAAAATACCCCTGTAACCTGCTGTTCAGCAAGATAGATCTAGCTATATACTTGATGTTTTTCCGTTTGCTTAAGTGGCCCGTCAAAAATGGTAAAATGGATCCTCAGTAGATTCTGAAAATGGCAATATCACCGATGGCAAACGTGAAAACACTTGACAAACACCAGCATGGTTTTGACTTAATCGAAGGAAGTTTAGAAATCAAACTTCCGACAATATGGACAGATGAAAAGCAGAGATGGGAAGAGTCAGAGAGAAGAGAAGAGTAGAAGAGAGAAGGTCAGAGAAGAGAAAGAGTCAGAAGAAAGAAGACGCAGATGCGCGAAAAGGTAGGAAAGTCGCGAAGCACTGTGTTTTTCCAATGATTTGTGGCTCCGGAAGGTCGAAAAGTAGGCTCGCTAAAGCGGCAGGTGCGGAGCCATCTGGCCAGATGAGAGATGAAAAATTGCACGCTGTTGTGGCACGAAGCACATTTCGAAGTCAACATGTGCAAAACACGCCATTCTCGGACCACTTTTGGAAATTGAGATGTCGAAAAAGTGCACGCCGTCGCCGTCGTGGCGCGAAGCACATTTCGAAGTCAAAATGTACAAAACACAAAAGCTTCGGACCACTTTTCGAAGTTGCGATGTCGAAAAAGTGCACGCTGTTGTGGCGCGAAGCACATTTCGAAGTCAAAATGTTAAAAATACCAGAAGTTCGGACCACTTTTGGACGTTCAGATGTGGTTTCGCGTGGCAAGCGCAAGGGATTGTGCACGTTCTCAAAAGTGAGCAAAACGTGCGGGTTTTGTAGCATTTTCCAAAACGATGGCACGCGTGGGACATTTGAAGAGGATCTGCAAAGATGCATTTCGCGTGGCAGGCGCAGTAAAGACATGTTCATCAGAGATGTTAGGAGGTCAGGGCCCTGATTTCCTGAGAGGGGTTGCATTTTGGAGCATCAGATCTGTAGGTTTGCTAAGATGATTTTGCGTGACAGGTGCAGCACTTCGTATGACCTGGCATCAATTTTTCGTGGCAGGCACAATAATTTAGACAGGTGGGGTCAGGTGGAGTGGAAAAATCGCAAAACGCATTGGTACGAGGCTGTCAGCGCTGCACTCAACGTGGGATTTTTGAAGGAAGTCTCGCAGAATTGCTTTGTTTTTGAGGTTGTCAAGTTCAAAAATTGAATAAGTCTCGCAGAATTGCTTTGTTTTTGAGGTTGTCAAGTTCAAAAATTGAATAAGTCTCGCAAAATTGCTTCGTTTTGGATGTTGTCTAGTTCAAAAAATGAAGTAATCTCGCAGAATTGCTTCGTTTTTGATATTGTCAACTTCGAAAAATTAGGAAGTCTCGCAGAATAGCTCGGTTTTCAAGCTGCCAGATAGACAGGTAGATAGACAGACAGACAGAGAGAGAGAGAGAGAGATAGATAGATAGATCGATAGATAGATAGATCGATAGATAGATAGATAGATGGATGGATGGATGGATGGATCGATAGATAGATAGATAGATAGATAGATAGATAGATAGTTAGATACATAGATAGACAGATACATAGATAGACAGATAGATAGATAGATAGATAGATAGATAATCAGAGAAAGAGAGAGAAAGAGAGAGAGAGAGAGAGAAAGAGAGGGAAAGAGAGAGAAAGACAGGGAAAGAGAGAGAAAGAGGGAGAAAGAGAGAGAAAGAGAGAGAAAGAGAGAGAAAGAGAGAGAAAGAGAGAGAAAGAGAGAGAAAGAGAGAGAAAGAGAGAGAACGAGAGAGAAAGAGAGAGAAAGAGAGGAGACCTCAACCACCTTTCGGTCCATCAGTGGCTTCGCTCTGCCATCCCTGATTCACAACGACCAACCTCTCCTATAGGTTTCCTATTTTTGAAACTTCCGCCACCACCTTGTGCCGTACTACTGGTATATGTTACCCTCAAATCACTATATACAGTAGTGAATCGTCAATCTTAAGGGTATTTAATAATTGTTCTATCCTGTACATACCATGTAGTTGGGAAACTCCGGTCATAGCTCCTTTGTTCCGAGAACGAGAGAGAAAGAGAGAGAAAGAGAGGAGACCTCAACCACCTTTCGGTCCATCAGTGGCTTCGCTCTGCCATCCCTGATTCACAACGACCAACCTCTCCTATAGGTTTCCTATTTTTGAAACTTCCGCCACCACCTTGTGCCGTACTACTGGTATATGTTACCCTCAAATCACTATATACAGTAGTGAATCGTCAATCTTAAGGGTATTTAATAATTGTTCTATCCTGTACATACCATGTAGTTGGGAAACTCCGGTCATAGCTCCTTTGTTCCGTCCGAAGCCCACGGGGTAGTGACTGCTGCTGGTGAAATGACAATGGATGACAATGGTATTCCGTTTTTTGGGTTAAATCTCGTCCCACAAAAAACTATCACATTTTGGTGGCTTATTTATAGAGTATGTTCCCATTATATCGTATTATAATGTATTATATATAAAGGAATAGCACTTGATCTTGGGCCAAAAGCATTTGATTTGGGGTCCCAATTTTGGCTAGCATTATTGTATATATTTGTAACGTCCATTGAGTTGGGGACCTAAACTTTTTAGTATACATTGACTTCTTGGGGACCTAAGTGTTAAACCTATCTGACAATCTACTATTACTAATTATTCTACATATTTGTAAATATGTGTGATGCCCATTGAGTTGGGGGCCTAAATATTCCTTTGATATGGTGTATGTTGACTTCTTGGTGGCGTACTATTGCTTGGCAAGGACCCCTGAAGTCTTGATCCCAAATCTAATGCAAGCAGAAAAGGTGATCTTGTAGATCTCCATGTCCAAAAAATGGATGTTGACTTCTGCAAATTTCAATTGAAATTTTCCTAAATCCTAGGGTTTTCTGAGTCTGTGTAGATCTAAGCCTTTGATTTTCAAGACTAGAGATCTACACCACATCCCTTTTCCCTAGGAATCTCTACAAGTTTCAATTGAAAAGCGCAGATCTTGAGCTTCAAAATTCCAATGTTGACATCTACAAGGTAGAGTATTTAAATCAACTATTTTACTTGCTACTTGATTTGGGTCTTGTAGATGGAGCTCCAAAATGACCTGATTTAGGTGAGTTTCGGACGAAACTTGTAGATCACTACCCCCAAATCAAGTGTCAAGTAAAAAAGTAGATTTATTTTCGATCATGCCACCGCAAAAGGATTAGCGGGATGAGGGCTGGGGGCTGGATGGCTCCCGGGAGAATTTAGGGAATAGTTAAATTATGTTAGATGGGATTATGATTTCCTGGAAATATTTATAGGGGCATTTACCATCCCAAATCATTTGCATTTCACCCCAAATCTATTGCCGATCCTTTATATATATAATATATATCTCTACCCCTGCCTAGCCTTGGCCTCGGCGGGGCCTAGGCCCGGGATCACGACAGGTGTGCAACATGTCCATTCATGTCTCTATACCAATGCTTAAAGCCCTCCGCTGCAGCTTCAGGCACTGTTGCCTGAGCTTACGCGCCGTTGCCATAGGGTTTAAGGCTACAGGGTTTCGAAACTGGATGGCCTTGTCCAGAAAACTGTTCTCCAAGGCTGGAACCAAGGCAGGACACTGCCAAAACGAACAAAAGGCCTGAAACCCGTAAAACCCTGTGCTGCAGCTTCAGGTACCTTCGGCAATGCTGCCAAACACTGTTTCTACACGGTTTCGAAACTGCTGGATTGCACGTTTCCAGAAGGCTGGAAAATAACAGTTGCTGTCTCTCAAAAAACTTCGGCCTCCAGGTTCTGCAAGTAGAAGGTTAATGGCCATGCAGGACCCTGGTCCAGAAAACGCGCAGCGCTCATTGGCCCGATGATGTGTGTTGGCGCCAGCTGGTCTGAAGTACATTGCAAGGACGTAGAAGATGGAACATGTTTTTAAATTTTGCCAGTCAAGTCAGTCAAGCATCAATTTTTGTGTATCACCGCTTGTTACCCTTCTGGTTATTTAACATATCTTTGGAAAATGGCCCATTTATAGATGACTTGTGAGGATCCATTTACCTACTAAAAATGGTGATGTTCCATATCAAATCCATCAAATTCCCATGCAAAACCAGCAAGCACATTAAATCTTCTGATTGTCAAGTTCTCAAATCCTTTTTCTACCCATTCACTGGAAAATCACTATAACCCCAATATACCGATATATGGTGAATCACTATATTCTGGGTATCAATAACATTCACAATGTGGGGCCGTTCGATAGCAAAGTTGTTTTTTCACTACAATAACTAGGGTAACTAAGGTCAACCCTGGATCAATAAACCCCAAACGGCTGTTGAATTGGGAGGGACCATTTAAGTATCAGATGAAGTGACTATTGGAGGATTCCCCCTAATTCTTTAAACCAGGCTAGTAAAAAAAATCTGGGGTTGACATTAGGTAATTATAACATGTTATAACCATAGTTAGTTGGGGACAAATAAACCAACTGATCTATCCAACGGGGGCCCCACATTGCAATCATTGCAATACCCCCAGGGTTGTGCCATGGCTAAAGCCGGCATTCGAGGCACGTTCTCCACCGCGAAGGCGCCGTGGCCGATGATGGCGATGTCTTTGCCCTGCGCCTGTGGGCGAACGCGGCGACGGCGAACTGGGGGGGGTTCATGGGATTTCACCTTCCAACATGGTTATTATCCGCCGACCCCGGCCTTGGCCAAGGCAGGGGCGGCGCCTGGGACCACCGCAGGTGTGGAACTTCTCCTTCTTAGCTTTCCAAGGCCACTTGCCAGCCCTTAAAAGCCATCGCTTAAACATTCCCTTGGCATGCTTCATCCTGCAGCCAACAGGCACTGCAAGGCGACACATCAATGTCTTCTTTCTCCTTATGGGCGTCCAAGCCTGCCCTTTGCCACGTCCTGGGAGTCCAAGCCTGCCGTTTGCCATGGTGCATCCTGCAGCCAACCGGCACCCCAAGGCCACACATCAATGGCTTCTTATAGGCGTCCAAGCCTGCCGTTTGCCAGCCCTTAAACGCTTAAAACCCTTAAAAACCCTCCAAACGCTTAAAACCCTTACAACCCGTCATGGGGGTCCAAGCCTGCCGTTTGCCAGGCCCGCAAGGCCACACATCAATGGCTTCTTATGGGCGTCGCAGCCTGCCGTTTGCCAGGCCTTAAACACAAGGGAACCTTGGCATGCTTCATCTTGCAGCCAACAGGCACCCCAAGGCCACACATCAATGTCTTCTTATGGGCGTCCAAGCCTGCCGTTTGCCAGCCCTTAAACGCTTAAAAACCCTCCAAACGCTTAAAACCCTTAAAACCCTTACAACCCGTCATGGGGGGTCCAAGCCTGCCGTTTGCCAGGCCTTAAACACAAGGGAACCTTGGCATGCTTCATCCTGCAGCCAACAGGCACTCCAAGGCCACACATCAATGTCTTCTTATGGGCGTCCAAGCCTGCCGTTTGCCAGGCCCTTAAACGCTTAAAAACCCTCCAAACGCTTAAAACCCTTAAAACCCTTACAACCCGTCATGGGGGTCCAAGCCTGCCGTTTGCCAGGCCTTAAACACAAGGGAACCTTGGCATGCTTCATCCTGCGCCAACAGGCACTCCAAGGCCACACATCAATGTCTTCTTATAGGCGTCCAAGCCTGCCGTTTGCCAGCCCTTAAACGCTTAAAACCCTTAAAAACCCTCCAAACGCTTAAAACCCTTATTACAACCCGTCATGGGGGTCCAAGCCTGCCGTTTGCCAGGCCCGCAAGGCCACACATCAATGGCTTCTTATGGGCGTCGCAGCCTGCCGTTTGCCAGGCCTTAAACATTCCCTTGGCATGCTTCATCTTGCAGCCAACAGGCACCCCAAGGCCACACATCAATGTCTTCTTATGGGCGTCCAAGCCTGCCGTTTGCCAGCCCTTAAACGCTTAAAAACCCTCCAAACGCTTAAAACCCTTAAAACCCTTACAACCCGTCATGGGGGGTCCAAGCCTGCCGTTTGCCAGTCCTTAAACACAAGGGAACCTTGGCATGCTTCATCCTGCAGCCAACAGGCACTCCAAGGCCACACATCAATGTCTTCTTATGGGCGTCCAAGCCTGCCGTTTGCCAGCCCTTAAACGCTCAAAAACCCAAACCAAACGCCTTAAAAACCCTTGGGGGGTCCCTGCCGTTTGCCGTCATGGGGGCATGCTTCATCCTGCAGCCAACAGGCACTCCAAGGCCACACATCAATGTCTTCTATAGGCGTCCCCAAGCCTGCCGTTTGCCAGGCCTTAAACACAAGGGAACCTTGGCATGCTTCATCCTGCAGCCAACAGGCACTCCAAGGCCACACATCAATGTCTTCTTATGGGCGTCCAAGCCTGCCGTTTGCCAGCCCTTAAACGCTTAAAAACCCTCCAAACGGTTAAAACCCTTAAAACCCTTACAACCCGTCATGGGGGGTCCAAGCCTGCCGTTTGCCAGGCCTTAAACCCAAGGGAACCTTGGCATGCTTCATCCTGCAGCCACCAGGCACTCCAAGGCCACACATCAATGTCTTCTTATAGGCGTCCAAGCCTGCCGTTTGCCAGCCCTTAAACGCATAAAACCCTTAAAAAAAAACCTCCAAACGCTGAAAACCCTTATTACAACCCGTCATGGGGGTCCAAGCCTGCCGTTTGCCAGGCCCGCAAGGCCACACATCAATGGCTTCTTATGGGCGTCGCAGCCTGCCGTTTGCCAGGCCTTAAACATTCCCTTGGCATGCTTCATCTTGCAGCCAACAGGCACCCCAAGGCCACACATTGGGGCGTCCAAGCCTGCCGTTCAGCCCTTAAACGCTTGCAGCCAACAGGCACCCCAAGGCCACACATCAATGTCTTCTTATGGGCGTCCAAGCCTGCCGTTTGCCAGCCCTTAAACGCTTAAAAACCCTCCAAACGCTTAAAACCCTTAAAACCCTTACAACCCGTCATGGGGGGTCCAAGCCTGCCGTTTGCCAGGCCTTAAACACAAGGGAACCTTGGCATGCTTCATCCTGCAGCCAACAGGCACTCCAAGGCCACACATCAATTCTTCTTATGGGCGTCCCCAAGCCTGCCGTTTGCCAGGCCTTAAACACAAGGGAACCTTGGCATGCTTCATCCTGCAGCCAACAGGCACTCCAAGGCCACACATCAATGTCTTCTTATAGGCGTCCCCAAGCCTGCCGTTTGCCAGGCCTTAAACACAAGGGAACCTTGGCATGCTTCATCCTGCAGCCAACAGGCACTCCAAGGCCACACATCAATGTCTTCTTATGGGCGTCCAAGCCTGCCGTTTGCCAGCCCTTAAACGCTTAAAAACCCTCCAAACGCTTAAAACCCTTAAAACCTTTACAACCCGTCATGGGGGGTCCAAGCCTGCCGTTTGCCATGCCTTAAACACAAGGGAACCTTGGCATGCTTCATCCTGCAGCCAACAGGCACTCCAAGGCCACACATCAATGTCTTCTTATAGGCGTCCAAGCCTGCCGTTTGCCAGCCCTTAAACGCTTAAAACCCTTAAAAACCCTCCAAACGCTTAAAACCCTTACAACCCGTCATGGGGGTCCAAGGCCAAATCAATTCTCTTAGGCGTCCAAGGTTGCCGTTTGCCAGCCTTTGCACAATGCAAACGATACCTCAAAGCCAAATCAATAGCCTTTTCTCGGCGTTCAAGCTTGCCGTTTACCACCTTTCTCTTTCACAACCCTGTCCTTGACAGAAAACTGCTTCCCACAGACCGTTCGATGGTCTATTTGCCTTGTCTTCACGTCACTGGCCACATTTCCTTTGCAAGCGGGGCAAACGTAAACATACGCTTTTTCCGTCACAACGCCGTTCTTCACAGAAAACTGCTTCCCACAGACCCTTCGATGGTCTATTTGCCCTGTCTTCACGTCACTGGCCACATTCCCTTTGCAAGCGGGGCAAATGTAAACATACGCTTTCTCCTTCACAACGCCGTCCTTGACAAAAAACTGGTTCCCACAGACCGTTCCATGGTTTATTTGCCCTGTCTTGACGTCACTGGCAACATTCCCTTTGCAAGCGGGGCAAACGTAAACAAACGCTTTTTCCGTCACAACGCCGTTCTTCACAGAAAACTGCTTCCCACAGACCCTTCGATGGTCTATTCGCCCTGTCTTGACGTCACTGGCAACATTCCCTTTGCAAGCGGGGCAAATGTAAACATACGCTTTTTCCTGCACAACGCCGTCCTTGACAGAAAACTGGTTCCCACAGACCGTTCGATGGTTTATTTGCCCTGTCTTCACGTCACTAGCCACATTCCCTTTGCAAGCAGGGCAAATATACACATACCCTTTCGCAACGACCTGCGCATCCCACACCTGGAAACGGTTACCACATGCGCGTCGGTGATCTACTTGGCCCGTGCGTATACTGCTCCTCACAGACTTTTGGCAAGCGGGACAAACATATTGGAAACTCTTGCCCTCCTCCCCTGCTTGTGCTCCATCTGCCAGCAACGTCACCGTCTCCGTCGCGCTGCCCTTGCTCTGCTGCTTGCAGCTCATTTCTGCCTGCCTGTCTGTGCTTCTTTCTGTTCCGCCGTCTTCTCTACGTTGCTTTGCGTGCGGCGGGACTTCCTGCATTTGGGCGGTGTCCTTTGTTTTCCGTTTTCGTTCCACGCTGGCAGCCCAGACATCAGTCGTCGCCTGCGCCGCCCTCTGCCTTCCATCGCTGTCTTCCCGTTGGCCACGTACATCTTCAGGCCTGTCTGTGCTCATTTCTGTTCGGTTCTCTTGTTTGGGATGTTTTGCCTTCGGCTCTGCGTCCTTCATTTGGGAGCTCTCCTGTTCTCTGTTGCGTTTTCGTTCCGCGATGGCCTCCCAAACATCGGCGATGGCACGTCCTTTTTTTTCTTCCGCTGCCGTCCGCGCGACTTTTGCCTGCGTTGCAGCTACCCGCTGTACCGCTTTGCTGATGCTTCCCCGGGGAATGGGGCACTGCCAGCAGTTGCTACAGACTTGGTCACCGTTACAAGAACGATGTTGCGCCAGCCAAGATTCAAAAGCGCACGCTGCTTGCTTTACCTTGCAGAGGCGCCCTGGAAAAGGGGTCGGCGGCACCAGGGCGTTAGCCCATTCTATATGGTTAATATTAATGGTTATTATATCCCATATGCTCCATGGTGCTGGAATATTTACCTACATGACTGGGCCATTTTGGGGGTAAATGTAGGTAACTATTCCATACATGGAGCATATGGGTATGGTTAATGATGGTTAATGTTATTAATAATGGGTTTAACGATTCATATTACCAGTTTATATTGTTATCCATTAATGGTTATGATAATGGTTAATGATGGCTAATAATAATCTGGTTGGTGGTGTACCTACCCCTCTGATACAATGTAGATACATCAATGGTTGGTGGTTGACCTACCCCTCTGAAAAATATGAAAGTCAGTTGGGATGATTATTCCCAATATATGGAAAAATAAAAATGTTCCAAACCACCAATCAGAATTAATGTCAGATGTGGGTCTGACATACGGGTTCATCGTTTGTTGATGAGCATAATGGGGATTTCATGTGTATAACTTGGGACATTCATATACAATGCTGGCCAGATTGTTATGTGAGTATCATTCCCTAAATCAGAACTGAGCCCATCTTTCTGTGGGTTCCTATTTACAGTTCCCATCATTTATCTCTTGACCTCGTGGTGAGATGGCAACCAAAAAAAACGGTTTAAGACTTCAACACTCCACAAATGTCATAACATATCAACATCCCTAATCCATCTAGTTCAGGATGATAATTCCATGATATTCCATTGATTTACCATCCGGTAAACTAACAAAACTAATTATGGACAATCACCATTTTTTATGCGTAAATCCACTAGAAATTGCAATTTTTAATAGCTATTTTGACATAACCGGAGGGTATCATGATGTATCCCCTTCAAATCTCCAGCTCCGGCCTTCCAGGCCTGCGAGGTATAGAACAAACAGCCACACAAAAACCACCTGCTGCTGAACTCTGCGCCTCTTTGTAGCTGAACTCGTCGAACATGCCATAGGCAATGGTGCCTCCAAAGTCTTCCTGGTGGGATGCAACCAATGAAAGGTGGCATTTTCAATACGGAACATATGGGAAAATACCGCTTCAAACGTCAAACCACATGAACTAGTTATAACTACTTCGATATATCTGGGGTAGACTCAAGACTTATAGTTACAAACCAAATTAAACTACACTTGTGGGCACCACCTTGTATCATTGTAGATGCTCTCGCCATGTTCCAACGTTGGAAACCACGTCCATGCCAGTCCCCCCGACGTGGTGCCTCGCCCTTGTAGGTTTCTCGTCCTGGGTGATAAGTCGGGTCGGTGGGAAAACATGGCAATGACGACAGGAGAACTGGAGTTTATCTGGTGGGTGGTTTTGACCCCTCTGAAAAATATTAGCCAATGAGAAGGATTATCCCATATATTATGGAAAATAACAGATGTTTGAAACCACCAACCAGTTGTAGTTACACCATGTTAAAACTATGTAACTATGATGAAACTAAACAATAGGTTTCTCTTGGTTCATGACTATAACATACTACACGTGTTGGATTCGGAGTGAATATGTCTACAATTGGTCGGATGAATTTAAACACTAATTCGTAGTTCGGTAGGTTGGTTTACAACTAGGACAACAGGGCGTATTGTAGTTGAAACTATAGTCACTATAGTCATATAGATGGGTGAATATGAGCCAAATTAAACTAAGGGGTATCACTTTGTACCAAATGTGAGGGGGTGTCTGCTTTCAATCAAAACCATTTTGAACAAAGCCAGTTGATTCGTTGATGACATAGTCCCCTTCTCCACCTGATGAGCCGACTGTGCGGTACCTAACTATCATAAAATATTCTTTAGAGTCCATCACGGGAAATCCTATTAAAAAGGGGTGGCATTATGCATTGCTCAATGAGGTGGTCAAAAGAAAACATACCAAAACTCAAGTTGTTCATGACCCCTGCTAGCTGGTCTCTTTCGCCCCGGCGCCTACACGAAGCTGAATTGATCTTGGACACTGGAGCTATCACCACCATGATTTTGATGGCCCCATGTCACGACGGTTCCATCTGCCAAAATCGCAGCAAACGCGTTGTCAGTGCCATGAATCTGCTGCACATTCCTGAGCTGCTCTCGGACTTTGGAGCAATTTCCACCGTGGTTTGGACGGCCCCATGTCACCACACTTCCATCCGCCAGGATCGCAGCAAAAGCTCTAGCTGTGTTGCAAATCCGCTGAACATTCCTCAGCTGATCTTGGACTGTGGAGCTGTCACCACCATAGTCTGGATGGCCCCAGGTCACCACGCTTCCATCTGCCAAAATAGCAGAAAATGCACTTTGTGTGGCACAAACCTGCTGAACATTCTTTAGCTGATCTTGGACTCTGGAACTGTCACTTCCAAAGGCTTGATCGCCCCAGGTCACGACGGTTCCATCTGCCAAAAGCGCAGCAAAAGAACCGTATGTGCCATAGATGTTCTGAACATTCTTGAGCTGATCTTGGACTCTGGAGCTGTCACCACCATAGTATGGATCGCCCCAGGTCACCACGGTCCCATCTGCCAAAATCGCAGCAAAAGCAGCACCTGTGCCACACATCTGCTGAACATCTCTGAGCTGGTCTTGGACTCTGGAGCTGTCGCCGCCACGGTCCGCGTGGCCCCAGGTCACCACCGTTCCATCTGCCATAATCGCAGCAAAAGCTTCTCCGGTACTACTGCTACAGACCTGCTCAACAAACCTGAGCTGATCTTGGACTCTGGAGCTGTCACCACCATAGTATGGATCGCCCCAGGTCACCACAGTCCCATCTGCCAGAATCGCAGCAAAAGCACCAGTTGTGCCATGAATCCGCTGAACATTCCTCAGCTGATCTTGGACTGTGGAGCTGTCACCACCATAGTCTGGATGGCCCCATGACACCACCCTTCCATCTGCCAAAATGGCTGCAAAAGCGCTTTGCGCGGCACAAACCTGCTGAACATTCTTTAGCTGATCTTGGATTCTGGAGCTGTCACCACCACGCAGTGGATGACCCCATGTGGCAACCCTGCTGCCTCCAACACACCACACAGCAAACGCAGCCCAAGTTGCAGCTATCTTTGGCTGCAGTGCAACAGCAGTAAGGCTGTCTCCATCTTCAAGTTCAGAATCTTGAAGAGAGTCTGTTGAATCTAAAAGACGTCCATCAGGCGCAGCAAGCCTCAGGAAAGGTTGCCCCAAGGACTGCTGTGCAGCTCTGTTCAAGTCAGCAATGCTGCCAGACAAGGAAACCACGATGGTTTCACAGCGTCCACTTGGCAAGGAGACTTCAAATTTGAGGAAACGGTCTGATGCCTGACTACTCACCAGTCTGCTTTCCATGGCTGTGGCGGTGTAGCTGAACAGACTATGTGGTCCAAGATGGTTTTAAGCTTTTTTGAGGCGATTTCATGCCTGAATATTTTCGTCAGCTTGATTTTCTTCGACTTGGGGTGAGAGACATCAGTGTACTGTAAACCGAATGTCTCAACTTTGCAATAATCTCATGTACAATCAATGTATGCGGGCTACCGTGATGAAATACAAACATCCAGATCCAATACCCTCTGGTAATTTAACATATTATCACAATTTTTACCAGGTAAATCAACTATTTCTATGGGCCATCTATACCATAGCTATTTTGACATAACCAGAGGGTATCAAATGCAGCGGATAATTCATCCCCGTCACCCCGTACGGAGCCCTACGAATGTCACGTCTTTTTTTTCCACAGTGGATCCTGAGAGCCAACGCACACGCAAAATACACTGTTGGACGGGCACATGTATCCGGGTCCAAGTAGATTAGCTCTGGTAAACATACAAAAAACTATGGAAAATCACCATTGTTAATGGTTAATTTCACTAGAAATGGACCATTTTCCATAGCTATGTTAATTTAACAGAGGGTAACGTGAGTATTTAATAGTTATGTAACGTATTACTCGTAATAATCTTTGTGCATTAATATCCCATATGTATAGTATATTTACCTACATTTGGGCCATTTATAGGGTAAATGTTGGTAAATATTCCATACATGGAGCATATGGGTATGGATAAACATGCCCAAATATCAACTAAAGAGGGGTTTGTTGTGTTTGTTCCTTTCACATCAAATATCATAGGAATCATGACAAGATACAAAATCTAGGACTAAGTATTCATTCTCGAGATATCTAATATGTTTTCGAAAAAACATGTAGACATTTATCACATTTTTTTCCCAGCATGGGACCCAGGCTGGGTTTTTTCGACACGACGGCTGGGTGTTCCGCACGTGGCAACGAGAGGTTGCCTGGGTACATCATCACCCCAGCTGCCTTCATAGTCTCCTCCTACGGATCTCACCAAACAGCCAGCTGTAGGTCAACCCTCTGGCGGTTTAATGGTGGTTTAATGGGAAAACCATAGGAAAACCATAGGAAAACCAAAGGAAAACCATAGGAAAATGGAGGTTTACCCTCTGATAATGGTGGTTTCATGGTGGTTTAATGGGATTTAACCAACACAAATCATGGTTTTTATGGGATTTAACCAAGAAAAATTGTGATTTTAATGGGATTTAACCAACAAAAAATGTGATTTCAATGGGATTTGCCGTCTGGTAATTTGTTACATAGCGAACTGGAAAATGGTCATAGAAATCGTTGTTCTGTCTACCCTACAAGTCCTACAAGTAGGATAGATTTTCAATGATTTTTTTGAAAATAATGTAGCCATTTTCATAGCATGGTGATTCTAACCCTAGTTGTTTGTATGTTGACCCGAGGGTATGGTTCATGGAGGATTCCTAATCGACAAAAACCTCAGTCACTGGAGTTAACTTCGAAACTCCGAAAATTTGGGGATATACTGGGGAAATATATACTGGGGAATTCTGGCCAATCAAAGTGATGACATTTGAATCTTTCAGAAGCATTACCATCGATTAACTCATTGCACTTTGATTTTGGAAAATAAAAGTTGCACTTAGAATATGTTTAACCAAAAACGAGTACTTTAAAAATTAAAAACAACCGGAAAAAAAAACATGTGTTTAGCACTTAGAATAAGAAAATCCATGCAAAAACCAAGGACAACTAAAGAAAAACATGAACACATCAATAAAACCAATAACAACTATGAAACAACTTGAAACCCAATGAACAACTAATACAAACCAATACAAAATCAACATTTATATGTAAATAATTGTAAATATATATGCATAATCACTAGCATTATAGAAGAACATTGCATTTTATCTGGTTTGAGCACTGTACCAAAAACATCATGATTACCAGTGAAAAGCCGATCAAATCAATGAGGCAAATAATAAATATAAATGAATGAAACAAGGAAAATCAGTTAAAACCTAGCAACAACCTAGCAAAAACCATTGCAAATCGAAGAAAACCACAGAAAAAAAACAAAAACAAACAAACAATGTGATTCCGAACATGTTTTTACTCTAAGTGCACCCTTGTTTTCTGAGTTTGTCCAATGAAAATTGAATTTTACCTGATTTTTATGTGTATATTCTAAGTGGTATGTCAGGTCGGTGCACTTAGAATGTGGTCTATAATTCCAAGTGCCAAATTTGCTATACACTTAGAATATATTTAAAAAAAAAAACATAATTTTGTACAGTTATGGCCATTTATTAGTTATAACTGGTTATTTCTATGGGATTATGCATTCTATAAATGGGGTTTTGTTAGTACTTATAACTGGTAAAGGGCCTGAACTGTAGTTTAAATCATATTCTAAGTGCTGGTCCATCACTGCAGGATGGACTCCGTGGAACAAATCATCTGGCTATGGGCCAAGACCAGTTCAATACCCTGGATATTACATCAACACTTTTGGCGATTACCGTTTGGTTATTTAACGTAGCTATGGAAAATCACCATTTTGGATAGGTAAATCATCATAAATCCTCTATAAATGACAATTTTCCATGGCTATGTTAAATAGCCAAAGGGTATAGATTTCATCATTCTTCATCCCTCTTTCCAATGATATTGTAGGTTTTGTACATGGACAAAGCACACATGCACAACTCTTTCACAATTTTTGCTGTACGGTAAGAAGACTCAAACTGCGATACTTTCTGGTGTTGGGCGATTTGGCAGTCATTACATGCCTGTGTTGCGCAAATATTGGATATACATGGATATACATGGTTGAATCACTATACCCTCTAATAATCAAACATAGCCACATAGCTATGGGGAATCCACCATTTATAGATGATGTTCCTATTAAACATGGTTATCATCCAAGTTTACCAGAGGGTAATGCCAAAATCATACCAGAGGGTAATGCCAAAATCATACATACTCTGCTGTTGTTGTGGCTCCCCTTGCAATGCCCATCATTTACAGTGAGCTTGTTCAGAGGTCGCTATCATTTTGCCAAGGCCAAACTTAGATACCCCGTTGGATTTGAAGCTGGTTGGATAAATCTCATTCCGTCTACAGCAAAATATCAAACTCACCAACCAGACCCCAGAAACGGGCTAAAAAAAGGTGTTCACAAACCATCTGGTGCACCCGACATTATCAGGTATTCACAAATATTTGTTCACATGACTATCAGGTATTGCCAAACCCCGACATGGAATCCCCGACATTTTGTTCACAATATTTGTGTTTATCAGGTTTTTTTGGGGATTTGGCACATCCCGAAATTTCCCATTTTTCATCGGCGCCGTTACTTGCTGCGTATATTCCATGATATCTCCATGAGATGATTATGCCAATGTATCCCAGGATGACACACTAAATTCTGGTATAATTGCAACAATGTTGTCAACAAACAAGATAAACAAAAAAAATACTATGTAATGTGTAATTCCATTATATCCAACTGCATGGTGAGTCTTAGATACTCGTCAACAAAAACTCATGTCGGACAAGTTTTACCATAGCAAAAAATGTAAAGTACGAGTTCGCACAATGCCTCTAAATACTAGGATTATCATGCTTTTCCATTAAAAAAAAAAAATAATAATAATAAAACATTTGGGGGTAGAACGATATTTATTCTAAATGGGGCACAGCTTCGGGCTCCGCAAAAAATCCACCGTGTGCCTTGTTGCTGCCGATCTTCTCAATGATCACTTCCTGAGTTGGTTCAGAACCAGCGGGATCGATAGTCTGATGATGTCATAGATCAAGATGAAAATTGATGGATTTCACCTTTCATCATCCTTTCACCATCCTTTCATCATCCTTTCACCATCCTCCATCTCGCATATTATGCTTGGCTCCAATTCCTCAAAAAAGGTGATCATATCTACCATTCTATCCATATCTTGGATTGTTCCCCGGCCCACATTGCCAGTCAGCACCAGGATCATCACATTTCTAGTCTCCCCTGACATCGCTGATACTCCGATATTTCAGAAACCGGGTTTCAGTACCCAAAGATATTCCCAAGATGACAAGGGTGAAACCGTGAAACCATGTGGAACTAGAAAAACAACTCAACGGAAAAGCTGGGATCAATAGCAACAAACAGTGGAGATCAAAGCCAAGGAAAAACCTCCGAGTCTCGCTTTGATTCTGAGCTATTTCATGTTTAAGAATGAAATGGGGATACTGTGGAGAACACATGAATATAATTTTAACAAAACCACTCAAAGGAATGGAGATATCAACCTGCAAAATGGGTGCAAACCCAGCACCAGCTGCTCCATATCGTATTGGAAGTATCAATCAACAAACTGCTTCCGGGGGTTCATTGCTCACAGGATGCAGCATTCCTTCTCGTGATGATTGAGAATTCCACACTCCACGGACCCCAGATCCCCAAATTATAGGCTTGAAATTTGTTTGACGTATAACCAGCGAATCAACAATTAACTCCCGCTGCGCAACAACTGCATACACCTCTTGGAAATAACAAACATCTGAGCATATCTGAGCTAAGAGTGTATTTTGGAATCAACGTTCACATTCACTATGAAAGTCAAAATAATTTTAGATCTAATCACTATTTTAAAATTTAATTTCACTATCTTAAAATCCAATCATGTGTTACCCTCTGGTAAACTAACATAACTATGGAAAATCACAATTTTTAATGGGTAAATCCACTATAAATGGGCCATTTTCCATAGCTATGTTAGTTTACCAGAGGGTAATCTGAAAATAAGGTAGCCCATTCCATCCACGAAGGCATCACCAAAAAACATCCCCATACTTTGATGGCCAGAACTGGGGTACTTCACCAGGTTTCAGACAGACCCATATCCCCATATGGCTGGTTGTATAATATATAATTACTATATAAGATTATAAAAGTATATATATATATTTATGATATGTATATATATATATTATAATTATATATAATATAGATAATTTTAAATAATATAAATACTTACATATAATAATATATATATATAAGTAGATTGGATTAAATATGTATATACCATATTTCAATATCCAGATCTCCCGCGATTCTTGATCATATCCTCCGGAGATCATCCCTCTGCCGTCCCTCTATACCCCATGACGGATCCGGCTGGTGCTGGTAGAAAAATGCTAACATTTATTGGGGGTATATTGATGGGATCCATGGAGCACCATATATAGCAGCACCGTTAGGATCCGTCCCTCTATACTGGTTGAGAGCACGGGATTCCCAGTTCAGAATCGTTCATGATCATCCAGAATATATCAAGGGGAGCAGAATCATCATAATCCCTGAACATCCATAAACGAATCAACCACCAAGGGTAGACCGCAGCCACTACTCAATGACATCGACCGCTGTGCCCAAGTTGCGTATTTCATGTCCAACTTTTGCCCTTCAGCCTTCACTTCCTGTGGATGACTTGGGGAATGTCACGTTTTATGAATCTTGACCGCCCAACAAATGATATGGGGGTTTCCATAAATGGGGATCCCCAAAATGGTTGGTTTATAATGGAAACTCCAATTAAAATAGATGATTTAGGGGTACCCCCATTTCAGGACGTCTCCATATGTTTATTCCCACAGAACCATAATTAGCATCATGGCAATAGATGGATTATAGAATGATTGATGATAATGGGTACTTAAAAGGAATATGATTCAACATGATCATTGTACGTTGGGAATGTATGTACTCATAAATGGGCGATGTTGAGTATTGTCTGATCCATGGTGCTGATAAATTTACGTATAAAAGAAACATGTTTGGTGCAAATGTTGGATGAGTCAGTTGTAGGTGTAACCATGATAATATGGGTATGTATAACCATTAAAAATACACACTTGTCACTGGCCACTATAACTGGTTGGTGGTTTCAACCCCTCTGACAAATCTTAGTCACTTGGGATGATGAAATTCCCAATATATGGAAAGTCATAAAAATCCATGGTTCCAGTCAGCACCAACCAGATAAATATGGGAAAGTTCATGAAAGTTCACTATGAACCTACAATTTTTTAACCACCAGGCATGACTGCCGGGCAGATTTTCGGACTCCAACAGGTTGATTGGGTATGATGAACTGATCTAGCCATAGAAAGATCCACCATTTTTAGGAACGGTAAACCATCTATTTCGATTAGGGCCATGGCTTCCATGGCTATGTTTAATTAACAGAGGGTATATTATATATATATATATCAAGTATATAGTCTTTATTCATTTATATTTACTTCTTCAATGGGGCGTTTGTCTGTTGATACCCTGCTAAAGTGAACAAACCTACCATGCTTCTGTGGTCGATCCATCTAACCTCACTGCGTAGGGAAAGCACGGAAAACGCACGTTCTACGTATCTGGTTGATGGTTGAGGCACCTACCATTGGTTGGTACTATACTATTAATGTATGGTTAATATTAATGGTTAGTATATGGTTAATTAATGATGGTTAATGATAATCTGGTTGGTGGTTGACCTACCCCTCTGAAAAATGATGGAGTGAAAGTCAGTTGGGATGATGAAATTCCCAATATATGGAAAGTCATAAAATTCCATGGTTCCAAACCACCAACCACGTATCTATGCTGCCTATGCAATTTCTTCGTTGAGAAGTCCACGTAGCTTTGGGCTCCTGATTTCCTATTTTTTGTGCGCACTCATGTCCTAGCTATTTGGTCTTGTTCACCTGCGCATTGATTCGAACGAGCTCGCTGGCATTGCCTACAGCCAGAATTATGATTTTGCCGGTGTCGCTGGTATCATATTCCCACTTTACTGGATTCTGCTAGCAAAAAGTCTCATGTGTGTTGCTTAATTTCCAACTTTGTTGGTCAAAACATGTTGAATTACCTCATTTGTGGGAAACTTTCCCAGGGTTCCTCATATTTTGGTGCAGAAAAAAACACGACATTTCTCTGGATAGTGCATAATTAGAATAATTCAGCTTCAAAAGTTCGGCAATTTTTGCAATAGCAGCCCCAATCCAATTACCATCATTCTAGTGACAACACAACGTGAGGTCGCTATACTTCGCCGAGATTCCCGTGATATTTCAATCCCATCATAGCACCATGTTTGATGGTCAAATCACCATCTCCAAGTAAATCCATCAAGAAATCCTCAGTTTGGATGGTTAAGTCCTCAGTTTGGATGATTTTGAAGTCACCCAGATCTAGTTGTAGCTCCACGCCAACCTTCAGCTGCCAGCGTCCTTGACTTCAGTTCCAAGGCGACAGTAGGGGATGATGCCATACCTGGAGACACGTCGAGACACGTCGAGACACGTCGCGACACGTCGCGACACGTCGCGACACGTGGTGTCCGAAGATGGACAATTTGGAACAATAGCTGGACGATTCATGGAAAATCCCATGAAGACATGGAGAATTTGAAATTGTTTTTTTGGGGGAATCCCATAATAAAGCTCATGGAAGCTCCGAAAGTGTCCTCCTGAAAGCCAGTTGTGATAATCACCAGTTTTAGATATGTAATCTATGAGTGGGCCATCTATGCTATAGCTATGTTGAATGTACTCTCCGGTAATGAAACATGGTAATGGACAATTCCACCATTTTATAGGTACTTGCGCGATCAAAACTGCAATTTATAGAGGATTCTCCAGCAACCCATGTTTAATGACACCAAAGGGTATTCCACTTGCTAAGGGGTTATGAGCCAGCAGAAACTTGGATCTAGCCAACAACTATAACATGAACGGTCGTCGCAATTAAAACTCTTTACAAGGACCTTTAGATCGATTACCACGTATATATTATTATTATTGTTATTATTATTACTATTATTATTATTATATTACTATTTTTGTTATTATAATTACTATTTATTATTACTATATATATATATATTATATAAATCATTAAATAATCTAGCTCCAAAAGACATCCTGTTGGTCAAAAGGGGCCAAAGCCTGACCCAGAAACTACTACCCTTCACTGAAATTCACATGTCAACCTGCCTTGGACTAATGGGATTACTAATGCTGGGTAAATTAAAATATTTCACTAACCTGAATCTTGCGGCCATAAAAGGGGATCATTTCCCCTACTAACTATGATTCCAGGGCGAGGTGGTCAAACAGGGTTCGGTCGTTATGAAATTTACCCACAGTTATGGCCATTTATTAGTTATAACTGGTTATTTCTATGGGATTATACATTCTATAAATGGGGTTTTCTTAGTACTGATAACTGGTAAAGGGCCTTAACGACTAATGGGATTCTGATCCATCTGAGATTCCATTGCGATTCCACCGGTAGGGTAGACCGTGACCACATTTCGGCAATGGATTGATGACCAGTGATGACCAGATCCCAGGATATCTAGTTGGAAACGTATCTGATGGTTGAGGCACCTACCATATTGGTTGCTAATATACTATTAATATTAATGGTTAATACTAATGGTTATTATATTGTTAATGATGGTTTTCATGATAATCTGGTTGGTGGTTGACCTACCCCTCTGAAAAATGATGGAGTGAAAGTCAGTTGGGATGATGACATTCCCAATATATGGAAAGTCATATTATAATTCCATGGTTCCAAACCACCAACCAGATATAACATCCAATTTTGACCTTGGCACTTGTATAAGTGGACTACATAGCAATCAAACTGGGCCATAATATGTCATGGTAATGCTTGGGGACACATGTCATGGTAATTTTTTAGGGTACGGGTGAAACTGTTAAACGGGTTTCTCAATGTTTCTTACATATTGGAAGCGTAAAGATTCGAAAGATGTTGCTCGCATGGAGGCGATGTATGTTCTTCAGGGCAGTCTAAAACGGTCGCCCAACATACTGGTTAACTTGGATAACAGTCCCAAGTAGGATTCAAACATGAGCCATTCAAACACAGCAACGAGTACAGTACTAGTTTCCTGGGAACTTGACAATGTGAATTTAGAATAATTTAGAGATATTAAGAAAGCCGTCATTTTCAACACAAAAGTGGCTTGTCCACCCAGCATCACCTTATTGCTGACAGATCTGATCTTCGATCCTCCAAAATGCCTATGCTGAGCTGATGCATTTTGCCCCGGGCTGGGCTCACTCTTCGGCCCCCTTCTGGAACATCTTCAGAAGCTCCTGGGCACCATGGATCAAGACCAAGGCTGGGTCGTTTTGGGGGTTAAATGTTGCTATAGATTTCAGCATGCAGCATCTGGGACGTAAGGATTGTGGATATGGATGTACACCAAGATTACAGAAAAAATTGGGAGTTGTAATTGTCTAAATGACCCATAAAATCATCACAATAATCAGGAGTGATACACCTTGTCTAAATCTAAATCTTCAGCGGCCGCAGGGGGCATCCAAGTGGATCTTACCGGATCCATCACTATGCTTGATATATTTGCTGGACATACCTGCCAAGGGCCAATCCAAATATGGGCTGTGCTGTGCCATGTGCAAAACACCGTGGTGGATAACGATAGATAGTCTACCCTCGAAGCTTCACTCAGCCAACTTTGCCCTTGTTTGTGCAGTTGGTAATCGTCGTTGTGTTGTCCAAATATTCAATCCATCACTACCGAACCCCGGAAAACATGGAACGTTAAAAACCTTAGCAAATATTCCAACCTTTCCATGCTTTATAAAGTACAGTGCTTTGGTACGGTCAGAAAACGTCGAAACCCTGTACTTTAGAAAAATAATCAAGCACAACTCTAGCAGAAGCAAACTTGGAATTCCACTGTGCCACTGTGCACATGCCATGAACGCCCCAATAAATCTGTCATATCTGTACCAAATATATGACTCTTCTTACCCTTCAGCAAACATAGAGATGGAATATCCTGGATTTCGGTAAATAGCTATTTTATTTCTGGTTGTTGGTGCAATGTGCCCATCTTGAAAAATGATGGAGTGAAAGTCAATGGGAAGGATGACATCCCATATATTATGGAAAATAAAACATGTTTGAAACCCCCAACCAGTTTACGGTTCAAGCATCTGAATTTTGGCCGTCCACGGCGTACCCCTCTCGCCCCCTGAGCATTCCAACATCGCGTGATGGCCAGGGGTAGTCGTCCGTGGGTGTTGGAATGGTCTCGTCCTTGCGAATGAGGGCCGATTTGGATGTGCCCACCAGTAATCCTAACTGTCATTGGTTTGATTCATTGATGGCTGATTCATAGTGGCAAAGTTGACTTATAATTTGATTAGCCATGGTTTAAGGGGAAATCTACATGAAGCCCTCATTTTCGTTTTTTTCAAATACCCCTTGATCGGTTTCCTGTAAACTACACGTTGGAAAATGGATAACGTGTAGAAATAACGGCCTAACTGAAAGCCAAATGACCTCTTTTGGCTGGTTAGGCCTCCAGTGTATAGGCAAAAACATTGCAACTAAGTGCCACTTGTGTTCCAGGTGGGTGTAACTGGGGATAGCCGATAGATATTCCATACAAACCTGGGTGAAGAAACCCCGGTTATGAATCATGAGCTACTTCCACTTCCTCGGATGTGTTTTCCAAAGAAATGCGATTTGCTTCATGGATTGGCTCGAATCTCTGTGAAAGAGTGTACATAATTCAGAATAATAGACATAAATAGCATGATGTAGCATGATGATATCCATATCTCAGAATTGGATAAGAAAAAAAACATTATTTTACAGGATAAAGACAGGGTTTCAACTTTCAAGCGTGACATTTCCCTTTACTTACCCAGCCCCATGACCACTGAACCATCCTACCCCAAGTGTCAGTTCTGCAAACAGAATTGGGGCAGCGCTCCGGTAGAAGTTGGGAACATTCTTTCAAGTTACATAAAGTTACTAGGTCCACTGCAGGTACATTGATGAACTGCGATCCTTTCTACCAAATCCCAATGAAATCAAATTGATATCCGACCTTTGCTCACCCAAAATTGTGACTGTTGCACAACCTCTGGATACAGTAGATAGAATGCATTAAAGCCCGAACAGTTCAGCCATTTGGGGATAGTTATCCTACTAAGGAGATAACATGCCCTTTCTTTTGAAAACCAACTGATTTTTGAGCACTTCTGCAGTTGATCATTTCAGGGGCCCCCGACCCAACCCAAGTGGTAGACGCCGAACTCAGTTTGTAGCTTGGACCTTCAGGGCATGGCATGGGGATCTACCAATACATCAAGTGCAACTACATTAGCATGCACATACATATCCATACAATATTACATATGTCATATGATGAGGCTTTGTGTGAAAAGTGGGTATCTGCAGAATGAACACGGGCTTATCATAGTTTTTCCTATGATAAATACATGTTGCGCCCTATGGCAGCGGCTTGGCACATGATATCGTCCTCCACATCGATGCATCAGTTTATTGGAAGGAAGAGTCTCAGCTACACAAAACATTCTTTAAAACGACCGACTATAGGCACTGGGACATGAAGTCAAACTTGAAGACTCCCAAAAAGATCATGAGATTTCATTAAGATCATCTAAGATCTACAGTTAAGGCCCTTTACCAGTTATAAGTACTTATAACCCCATTTATAGAATGTATAATCCCATTTATAACCAGTTATGACTAATAAATGGCCATAACTGTATTCATCCATTCGATTTCCCCCGATTCTTTTGGGACCTCCCCAGTCAGTGGCTAGGCTCCCCTCACGTCACATTGGCTTGATCCCACCATGCCATTCCACCCACCTGGCGGGCAACTTTGGGGTGATGAAATGGACCACTTCACGTTGCTTAACCCATAATAAAACATATGAATTAACATCACCTATTGACATCAATATCATAATCATTTGACATCACCTATTGCAATGATGAATTATATATTGACCTTTTAGTATTGCAATGTATTGCATATGCAATGGTCCGAAGACAAAGCAAGTCTTCTAGTTTAGCGAGACATCCGTTGGATTTTAGGCTCTCAAATGTTGAACCGAACCTATATGTGTTTGCTTGCTATGACTAACATGGAGCCTTCTCTATGCTTTAACCAGTTTAACCAGTTTAACCATTTTAACCAGTTGAACCAGTTCGGGACACCCGGAAGATCAGCACAGCACTTTGAATCGCTGTGTTCTGTTCTTATGTAGTTCCAACCCTTGGTTTCCCCGACACAAACATGGACCAATTGCTCGATATGGAGGGCCCTCTTGCCAGGCAAATCTCCACTCATGTCCTAATGTGTTGACATAGCACGCTCGTGGTGGCACCCATGTTTTGGGCTGATACAGTACCAATACACATTGATAAACCAAGCCTTGTGTTCAACCATGAGCCTGCACAAACTCCCCGGAGATGACCATGATCCCTCTCCCTTCACCTTCTCTTTGCGATCGAAGATCACAAAATTGGACCTGTCAGCAAGCGCTTCTTAAACAGCAGTAGGCTGAATCTAAAAACCCTGGTAAGTGCTGTGTTTCATCCCAAGCGGCAAAGCTGCAGCGATTGGCGCTTGAGAACTTTTACCATCTCGATGATAGTAGGGACGAGTCCAACATGGGCTCTAACAAACCACCTTCAATCATGGTTAATACTCGTTAATACCGGGATATTTATATATATATATATACTGGTTGGTGGTTTCAACACTTCTGAAAAATATTAGTCAGTTGGGATGATTCTTCCCAATATATGGAAAAATAAAAAATGTTTGAAACCACCAACCCGTATATATATATATTATAATGCAGATATTTAGTGATACTCTTCCGGTGTTCTCAACCGTCAAAATATGTCGCTGGGTAGCTGGGATTTTTTTATCGAACTCAATGGATCCAAATGGTGGATGTTCCATCATTTCACCACGCAACAACACCTCTACCTATTGTCACAACGTTCGCAAAATTTGGGGTGTAGATCCGTTAGGGAACTAGATCCGATAGCTTCCGCAATAATTGTTGGTTCATCCTAGGAATCTTATACAGTAATTATATACACCTTTCTGCTGTGTGACTAGGCTGGAATCATCTCATGACTGGCGATCCCACCATTTCCGAAATTCGGATAGGATCCCACCATCCTCAAGAAAAAAGGCAAACAATCCCACTGAAATGGTGATACATGATAATGTTATACGTGTCTATCATCATTTTTTTGGAGGTTACTGAGGTTACAGTATATGTTCACGTCAATATGGTGCAAATGTGGAGGTATCATACAGTCAGAATGGGCTTGGAGCCAGACATCTCCAAGTCCTACAAATCCGTAGATGTACGATAACTTCTTCAGGCATTGAAAACTGTGTACAAATATATGTATATATATATATAATTATAAATATATATATATATCATAATTCATCCATAACCCATAACCTTACTTTTTACCATGCATCAGTATCATGTATAGATAGTCTATATTAATAGATCTATCAATATCACAAATTATTCACCATCCGTGGAGTCACCACGAGTCACCTTTTTCCGTAGCCTCTGGTAATGGAAAATTGACCATTTACAGGATCATCCACAAACCCAAACACCGCACGCTGAGTGCCGCTGACTCCTTGTACTTCATGAAGACCATGGCCTACGACGCAAACGATGGCCCAGGCTTCTGATGCTGGCTGGGTACTCTGAATTAACATTCTCAAACACTTTCGGAAAATCCATGTTTATTCACCAAGCATGGTAAAAATCAACTGTTGAACGTCTAAAATTGAAGTCACAAACTTTCGGAAAACCCATGTTTAACCACGGAACATGGTAAAATTCAACTGTTGAGCATCAACAATTGAAGTTGCAATCAGCAACAATGAGGATTCAAATTGATCATATCATGTGGATCACCTGGGGGAATGATCCCCCAACCAGTCAGCAGCAGTAAAGCAGGCTCTGGCATGTTTCTATCATTGCCATCTGCAAGTTCGAGTGGAGAATTCGATTGGGTTTTGGTCATGTTGTCCCAAGTATCCCCATATTCTTTGATCACATCCCCAGGAAGTATACCCACTTTTCTTGTGCTTCCAAAACAACATTTTCCATATGTCTTGGTTACATCAAGTTATTAACCCCATGGTAAATATGACTTAGAAATAACTATAATTTCTACATCCATAAACCATCATAAAATGACCCTACAAGGTGCCCAAGGTAGCTAAGATGGTTTATAGCTCAAATTAGACTAGGACTTATGGTAGTTATATCTATAGCTAATGGGATTATCAACCAACAAACATAACTGGGGGGGGGAACTACCTTGTATCTAATATGGGGATGTGTCAAAACCTATTTAAAAAAAAAAGCTTGGATTTATGGATGTTCATCGCCCGAAAAATGCTGTTTTAATGTGTATTAAGATCCATTGCAATATCACCAAGATAACTATCATAATTATATAAACATCCATAAACCATCATAAACAGATCTATCCTATCCATTTTTACATCCATAAACCATCATAAACATCGATTCTATCCATTTTTACATCCATAAACCATCATTTTTACATCGATTCTATCATAAAAAATCATAAAAATCTATCCTATCTCCATATCTCACATTCCCATCCCCATCGCACCGAACAGATCAGAAAGGCCTGGCGCAAGCCGATGTGCCCGGCGCCGATGACCACAACGGGATGCTCGTGGGGCGTACGTTCGCCTCGGTGACACATGGTGACACCGGAGGGCGATGGGAAAATCTCATGGTGATTTATAGCATTCCCCAATGGAAACATAGAAACATATAGGAAACCTATGGAAACCTATGGAAAACCTATGGAAAACCATGGAAACCTATGGAAAACTTATGGAAAACCATGGAAACTACGAAAACATGATAAAAATATCAGAGATGTTATATCATCATCTCGAATATGGAAAATATGAACATATCATCGAACTACTATCCTGGAAACACTGTTCGGACTGTTTGGCATCTTTTTGGGGGTTGCTATAACGATAAATTGAATTAAATTGATATAAATTGCAAATACTGTACGCATGGAAAAATGTGGCCTTTGGATTTGTAGTACCTGGAACGCGTCAGTTGCCTTTTTTTATGGTCTACTTTGAGCGAGTGACCATTGTTGTTGTCACTGAGCAGTTTTCGGACAAGAAAACGTCACTAACCTCGATTTTGTTGGAGGTTAGCCATCGCACAAAACGCAAAAGTGGCGTAAATATCCGTAAAAGTTGCGTAAATATCCGTAAAAAGAGGATACAACAAAACAAAAAAATAAAATCCAATAAGTTGTTGCAAACATCTATACATAAACTAATTCATTGGAATCAGGGTTGATCTATTTGATTAACCTTGATTATTGAGTGCCTCATAAAGGCCTGTATTCATTGTATTCCATACATAGCATGATTCAAACCATATTGAATAAAATATGTTACACTGTGTAGGATTAATATGCCAACCACCTGACACATGAGCTTGGTGTTTTCTTCTGTTAAACTTGAACCGTAAAAATCCAGCGAAGACTGAGAATCTGATGCACCTCAAAAATCACCGTGAAAACTAATTTGGAAAGCGCAAGGATTTGATTCAGGCCTGCAAGATATAGGGTTGTCTCAAAAATAAGGTACACATATGTGCAAATCCAAATGGCGTGGTTTCTCATAGTTTCCCCTAAGCAAAATTACCCACCCCATTTTATCAGACCCAAAACTAAATTAAAAACTCAAATATGTTCGTAAAACAATCCCAGTAAATCCCCATTAAAAATCCAGTACATCCAATTTGTTGATGAATTTCTGTATATATCCAAGTATATCCCCATATATAATGCATATAATATATACACATAACTCTGGAAAATCACCATTTTTAATGGGTAAATCATGGTAAATCAACTATAAATAGCCATGTTCAATAGCTTTTTGTATGTTTACCAGGCCGCGTAACCCATGAACGTTCCTTTCAGGAAGCATCACGTTTAACGATGAAACGATTCGGTGGATCCTATGGATAAGATCCTGTGGACCCAACGTTCGAAGCTCTTCAAACCTTTGACGACAACCTGCAGGGCAGTGACTGTGGTACCGGGCCGTGAAGCTATGAAACCGGCAAAACATGGCCAATCTTAGATACCATTCAATTTGTCAATATTTGTATATAATATATATATATATAATATTGAGCTGGTTAGATCATCTTAGTACCCTATTCAAAGCAGAATATTGAAGTAGTGAAGTGTATCCAAGGTTTCTCCGCATAAACATCATCGACCTCAACAGGATATCATGGCTGGGCACGTCGTGCAGGAACATGCGTCCTATCCAACGTCTTTGTTGCAACTATCCAATCATATACTTCTAAGATCTTGAAAACGCAAACATGTCCATGATTCGAAAGCACGTACAATGCACAGAATGGACAAACCCATTCCGTATGACGTACGATGTCTTCTGGCAATATTTGATGACCTCCTAACAGAATGACCAAGGAAATCTACGCGGTAAACCCTGAAGGAGTGGTCCCAATCTTCAACCACGTTCGTTCCAACATGCCAAACATTAGCACACACACACACACCACCCAACACACTTGTTGAACATCCTATAGAATAACATGTTGCTAAACCAACGCCATGTTATGTCTTGAATCTTCACTGTCGAATTGACAGCAGGGAAACTTTGACAGTGAAACTTGGGGATTCCATGTAGCCTCTGGTAAACAAACATAGCTATTGAAAATGGCCCAGTCGAAATAGTGAGTTTTCCCATTAGTATAGTGATTTTCCAGTTCGTTATGTAAAGGTTTACCAGAGGGTATATCCATGTATATCCTATAAATCCATAGTTAACCCCCCATGATTTCCAGAGTTAAACCCAATGGATTTATCCTATTTCCATAGTTGCCAGAGGGTATATCCTATAAATCCATAGCTATATGTTCAAAGGATTTCTCCTATAAGACTCAGATTCTGTGATTTCAGACAATCCATAAAATTTGCCGGCGGATCTTTTCAACTTTTCCCTGAAATCTTCACCCAGAACCGACCGGTTCTAGTGACTCAGTGGATACGTAAAAATCCTCCATGATCTCCATGTTTATTCAACAAAAACTGCTTGGTGGTGCAATAACCATCTTGACAAATATGAAAGTCAATGGGAAGGATGGCATCCCATATATTATGGAAAATAAAAAATGCTTAAAATCACCAACCAGAATAATATTGTAAGTAAAGTGGCCACCAATGGGTTCGCATTCATTTTGGCCCGACCTTTGGTCGCATCTCTTCACAATCTTTGTTCTCGCGCCAAAAGGGTCCTGCCAAGGATAGAACGGCCAATGGTCGGAGAATCCCCGAACCAAATCCTGTAACACGGGGACCCCCAAACCAAGTAACCTTTGGTTGCTGGCAAGCTGAATACTGAACACACGCCTGATAAGATGTAGATTCGGACTGCTTGTCCGACTGCTGTAATGTAGTGGTGAGCTAATGATCCAATCCCTAGGGAGCCATTTCCATTCCAATCACATCCGAAACCAAGGGGACACCGAAGGTTTACCATAAGCGAAGCCCTGGGTGAAATGATGAAATGACGCCTCATCGAACAGTTGCTAAGTGCACTTAGATTGATCAAATTTGTGCAATTAAGAAAAAAACAAACAGTTGCTTGGATGAAAATATTGGACATATATTGGACGTGTTGTTATCCATGAGATATTTCCAGTGTATGTCCAATTAATATTCCCAAATCATTGTTGATTGATATTATTATATTGTTTTCCCTATCCAAACACCTCCTGATAAGGTACAAGACACCCCAAATCCGACCTCAAACACTTCCCAGAATTGTTACTGGTATGGCTGTCATGTGGTGTCTTTCCAATTTCCGCTGTTACATGATCGTTGATGAGCTGGGACACGACCATTAACAAAGCATCAAACAGTTAATGATTAACCATTATTATTATTATCATTATTATTATCATTATTATTATCATTATTATCATTATTATCATTATTATTATTATTTATTATTGCCATTATTGTTGTTGCCATTATTATTGGGAAACATATGAACATTATTAACTTATTATGAACCATGATTAACCCATCATTAATTCTACCAACAAACCGAGTACCGAACTGTCCTTGTTTCGCGATGAAGGTGAAATCACCTGCACCACGCTGCGCAGGATCCCGAAAAATGCTACCGTTGATGTTTTTGATGGATCCCAATGGGGACATGCTGTGATAACCAACATCTACGATTTTCGGGCCTGTCTGAAAATGATATTATATTATATTATATCATATAATATTATATTTATGTCATACCACCCAAAGATCAGTGTTAGTGGGGACAATTATCCATTTCAAAGGTTAACGTTGGAAGATGCTGCAGGGGCGTGGAAATACTCTACTTAAACCTGACGTGGCTGTGTCTGAAAATGTTGTTAATACCCTCCAAACGGTTAAATGTCCATGGGGCTAATTTGACGACTCGCCAATTTAGATTTAAAGCTTTTTCCCCCCAAAAAAATAAAAACCATATATATATATATATATAGATCAGTCTTATTCTTCCCTTCCCACTAGTTAAAACCATCATTCACCATCAGAATTTACTGTCAGCTCAGTCAAATATTATTGTCAATGCCTGGATCACGACCAAGACGTTCGGCCAAGAAGAGCTTGATGTCCCATACCTCGTGTGCAAATTCTGAAGTGTTGTGCGGAACATAACGGGTTTCATGGGAAAAACCTGGGGATTTGTTCCGCCAAAACATGGGAATATAAAGACAAACATAGATTAAAATACATTAAACCAAAGAACTGGAATAGGGAACATGAGTTGTTTAATGATTTGAAAAGTTGTTCACACCATCAAACGAAGAATAACATGAGAATGCAACTAACAATAGGGGGACATGTCATGGAATATTGCATGGGGATTATTCGCCAAGCAATCATGCAATTGTTTAAGTGGGATAATGAATAACTCCAAACAGGCTGAAATAAATCCCACTTCATCCAACTTCTAATTTCTGGTTCACCATCTGGTTATTTAACATAGCCATGGAAGATCACCATTTTTAAGAATTGTAAACCATCTACTTCTATGGGCCATCTTTCCATGGCAAACTGTAACAAATTACCAGAGGGTAATTCCAACTTCTAATCCAACTTCTACAATGTGGGTCCCCCCAGTTATGTTTGTTGGTTTAGATTCGTCCCAATAACTAGTTCGTTATTTGCGTACCATAAACCATAGTGAAATTGGAGTTATGTGCACCAACTTAGCTATCGAACGGGGGCCTCACAGTCTATAAATATCCAAACAAGCATCGTTCCAATTTCCATCCAGGACCGGGTTCCAAGGCCGTTCTGTTTGAAAACCACAGATTCGCAGGGTAGGTAGGTTTCTACCCAGGGTCCAAGAAATTCCAGCATTAAGCAGCTAAATTATGGTGACTATGGTGATTGGAAGTAACCAAATCTACTGCTTTGATTTCATATATTTCATCTGCTGCATATGTTGCAGCTGCTGAAATCCAGAGAGATTCGTGTGCAGTATCTACCCATCATCTAGCTGTATGTGGCATCCAAGAATTCAAGTTGTTGTTTTTTTTCCGTTCACTCCTAACTTACTATTACCATTAAAGTCATCAAAATCCCTATGAAATCCACGAAACCGTTGATCCACCAGGGCTGCCGGCCGTCGTGCACACTTGGGCTGGAAGTCGGAGAATCTGCGTCCAGCGAAACCGGTCGGCGATGGGAAAATCCGTAGTTTGAAGCATCAAACATGGTGGTTTAAACATGTTTTAACCATCAAACATGGTGAGTTAATGGGACATAAATGGAAAAAATGTGAGTTGGGATATAAATGGAAAATGGTGAGTTAATGGGATAGAACTATGATATAACCTTCAAACCTTCATGGTGGTTGAATGGGACTTTTTTTTTGGGGGGGGGGGCATGGCGGCGTGGTGATTTCATCCCTTAAAGGATTTTTTTGGGCCGCTCAAAAGATGGTTGGCTGCAGCACCTCGTTGACAATAAACGAGGAATATCATGGCTGGTTGGTGGCATACCTACCGTTGTGGTTAATATATGGTTAATACTAATGGTTAGTTATTATATGGTTGATGATGGTTTTCATGATAATCTGGTTGGTGGCTTCAACCTACCCCTCTGAAAAATGATGGAGTGAAAGTCAGTTGGGATGATGACATTCCCAATATATGGAAAGTTATGGAAAATTCATGTTCCAAACCACCTCTTGAATGGGATATGATTAGCCAAAATCAGATTCAATCAGGATATACCGCAATAATCCACAATAGACAGATACGAACATAAGACGTATAGCAGAGATTGGACTATTTTGTTCAAACATTATGCACTGAGTATAAACATGTCAATGCATAATATCAGTAAATATGTTCACTTGGTGAATTGGTACGAGTAAGATGTCATTCAGTGTATTCAATGATCACTTGGGCAATTTTTTGTTGGCGACTTCATCTGCGAAGCGTGAGACATTAATTCTGGTTGGTGGTATACCTACCCCTCTGAAAAATATAAAAGTCAGTTGGGATGATGATTCCCAATATATGGAAAAATAAAAATGTTCCAAACCACCAACCAGTTAATCATAAGCTAGAGCTGATAATGAAACAAGTCCACGAGATCAGGTGGAATTATCACTGCTTCAAATTCGATCACACAGGGGCCTTGATAACCTTCGAGACAGCTTGAAACACAATCTTACTATACATAGACTATAGAGAATTACTCTGTATTTTGTTCTTGCTTCATTAGCTGCTTCTGCTGATACTATCAAAATGGACATAAAATAAGTCGCACAAGCCGATACCCTGAGCAATTAAGGTTTACCTCAATTGTCATAACTGTCCATGCTTAAACCCGGATGTTGAATCCCAGTCGTTCAGACTTCAATCCCCGGACGAATCGTGCATAAATTCCCATTGATTCACTGAAAGAAACCCTATGTTCAATGCCTTTCCTCCAGCTAAGACCTTGCCAAATACTCAAAAAACTGGCAGATTTTTAGGGTCCATGGTCTAACTGTTGGTTGGATTGGTTGGGAATTGTTTCCATCCCCTCTGTTCAACGCAAACATCTGAATTAAAACAAGTCACCAATCCGACAAGTGCTTCTGTTTTTTGTTTAAATCACCAGCCTAAAAGGTTTCCAGATCACCACCCACGGTCAAACACCTAGGCCTTGTTTTTCTTAATGACAAACATGATGCAACTAGCAGCTAGGGACACCTCTTTTCTGCTCGCAAATGGCCAAGAAATGGTACCCCCCATCACCAAAGTGCCGAAGAAAGTGGGGAGATCTGCCCTTCCGCTGCCCAGCACTCGCCTCGCCGCTGGAGTGGAGACGGAGCTCCACTTCCCGGGCCGTTTTGCTCATCTCTTCTTCCGCCTGGGGATTCCCCCACTTGGCAGGCTCCAGGAGATGTGGATGTTGAGACGTAACATGGGGATGTAAAACCTTGATATATTGGATACCCTCCGGTAAACGTTTACAAAAAAACATGGAAAATCAATGGTAAACTAAGATAACTATGGAAAGTCACCATGCTATTAATCGGTAAATCCACTATTTCTATGGGCCAGTTTCCATAGCTATGTAACAAATTGCCAGAGGGTATTGGATATGGAATAGGGAGACCTCATGAGGATGTATACGCGGCATATATGTATATCATATAATGCACTGAGCACATGCTTCAGTGAAGTTGCTATGGCCAATATCCTTGCAATGGTCGGCCCCCAAGATTTTCTGGTAGCTATTGGCCAGAAAAATAGTTCGAAAAAATGGGATATTGGATGATATTGGTCACTTTTTAGGTATTTCGGCCTCATCTATAACGATAGAAAACAACTCATAACTGGGTGAATCATAGCAGCCAGAAACGGAAGAAAACCGCCCGTTGGATGGATAGAAAGTTCATGACCCCCAGCCTGGTTGAATATGGCCCAGTCGAAATAGTGAGTTTTCCCATTGAAATTTGTGATTTTCCATAGTTATGTTTTAGTTTACTACTATGTTATCTGGTTGGTATACCTACCCCTCTGAAAAATGATGGAGTGAAAATCAGTTGGGAAGGATGACATCCCATATATGAAATGGAAACATAAAAGCCATGTTCCAAACCACCAACCAGAATATCCTACAATGTAAACCTCATTTTGATACCATCAAAGCAGGTATAACTCTTGGGGGATAGTGGGCACCCATCCATCAAACCATCATTTTCTTGTGCTCTTTCAGTGCGTAACCAACGGAACATGTGGAGATCACCAATAACACTGGGATCATCATCTGGTTGGTGGTATACCTACCCCTCTGAAAAATATGAAAGTCAGTTGGGATGATGACATTCCCAACATGGGTCATTAAATGTCCCCATTGAACATCACCCAACCATTAGGTATATGGTCTATAATGGCTACTATAAGGTGATGTCCAATATTCCCAAAATGGGACAGTTACCAACCCCTGCCCAATATGATGGGACAAATAAAAGCCATGTTGGTGTCGTCTTTCATGATCTGGGACTTTTTTGGCCGTGATGATGGGATACTGGAATCATCTGGAATCCCTGATGTCGTTTCGACAGAAATTCGAAAACAGGGTGGTGCCCCCCACCAGTTATAAGTTAGTTTATAAAGCCCATGCCATGAATACTATAGTTTTATCTACCATGACTCCTACTTATTGTAGTTATAAACCAACTTAGCTAACTATGGTGCACCACCTTGTATACCTTGGCCATCTTGGGAACAATTTGGACCATGGCTAGCTGGGTTACCATAGTGAATGCTGATTATGAACAGAGTGACACCAGGACATTGCATGAAATTGTTATCATGTGCTTGGGAAACTCAATTCCTTGCTCCAACTGGCTTCCCATTACCCTCTGGTAAACTGTTACATAACTATGGAAAGTCACCATTTTTAATGGGAAAACTCACTATAAATGGCAATTTTCAATAGCTATGTTAGTTTAACAGAGGGTAAATATATTATAGGAAATATGCATAGCAATAGATTTGTAACCTATCAGCCGGCTGACCAGCTTTTTCGCCTAGCTAAATATACGCATAGCAATGTGCCTGCGCCAGCTTCCTCAAAGCCCCAAAATGTGGACCATTACTGGGTTCAATCGGTTTAGAACTGGGCAAATCTCTGGATTTATGTGGATTTTCAAAATCCTCTCATCACTGGACTAACTGGAAGTCCGCGGCTTTGCAAAGAAAACAGTCTCCACCCTGGAATCAGCCTCCCCCGCCTTGCTGACAGTTTTCATCAACTGCATCTTGCTTGGATCTCGATATCTCTCGCTGGTGGGATCGTACCTGGATTGCCACTGTTTTTGGTGGATATCTCAGCAGTGTGGGCCATGATGCTCAGGGGCCGCTGGTATGATCGTATGTACGTACATATCGCTTGGTTGTATATAACTTATGATATCTTATGAATTTCATCAACCCGAAATACGGTAATTTTCGGCTGGCTCTCTGCACTAGCCATCATTTACAGTGACCTGGTAGGGAGGAATATAGTGTATATATAATAGTATAACATAATAACATAATATAATAAAATAATATAATAATATTATTCTATTATATCATGTAATAATATAATTTAATATTAAACTATAATATATTATTAATATATAGTTAATATTAACATACCCTGCAAATATCACTGGGTCAGTGGTTGATGGAATCTTGGCAGATTCCACGACAGCGGTCACTGGAATCATGAGACTTGGTGCCCTAAACTTGCAGCCCTTATAAACCAGTGATTTCATGGGATTTCACCATGAAAAGTGGTGTTTTTTTATGGGATTTAACCAAGAAAAATGCTGATTTCAATGGGATTTGTATATATGTAATGTGGGTACAACAAGCCATAAACCACCCATTTTCCTGGGAATGGTGGACATACCACCTATAAAAATGGTGATTTGGGAGATGGTTTATGGCATTATTTTACCCACGTTACAGTAAACAACATGGGATATGGGAAGATCTGGTCTTGACAAACCCATGAGTTCTGGCTAAAAATCTAACGATGAGAACCTTCCCTGATATGACTCTCAGGTTTGAAGGCCGTTGGTACATGGTGGGGGTTTCAAGGCTGCTGCTTGGCTGCTGCTAGAGATATCACTTGACAACACATCATGAACTTTCCCAGAGCCGATTCACTTACTTGCGCAGTTGAGGGTCATGGCTATGGGTGCACAATAAGGTCGTGATAACCTCTAGAAGTTGGGATATATCTATATATATCTATATATATATATAAACCCTAATCTATATCTATATGGTTCTATAGCCACTTCACCCCCAAGTATCACGCCACAGCTCAAGTTGGGGTCATTTTTGCAATCTCCAGTTGCGGCCATACAGTGCATGAGATCACCAACTAACTACCTTGGTTGCAGACCCCCTCATTCCTAGGCTAGTCATCGGTTTTATCCTTTGTTTTCAGGTAGATATAAAATGAGCAGTATTGAAACCAGAGTGAAAACCATCCAAATACTGGATAGTTGCTGGAGAGTCTGTATAACCATCCATACTTGGAAGTGCAGTTCCATCTATAAATAGTATATTCAATTTTACCCCAGTTATATATGGGATATTCCGAGTTACATTAAGGGGTTGTAAACCACAAAAAATCACGAACCATCAGCCGTTTTCAACCCCTGACCGCCCTGACCGCCCTGTCTGGCGCACATGCCCATGTTGACCGGTGGTCGGGCCGGCATGGCGACTGACCTGGTGCTGCCCGGGCGTTCGGGTATCAATGACCATCTCAAAGAATATCTGGGGTATCACAATTGACCACACTATAATATGAAATTATATATGTATGTATATATATATATTTATATCACACATATAACTTATATTCACCCCAGATTGCCCCAAGCATGAACAAAAAAGTCTTGATGCCACGGCATGTCACCAACCATATTACATGCATGGCCAATCATCAAAGCCGTCATCAATGGTGCGGGTCAAGGTTAGTTACCACCAAAAATATGCAGAAACTGGATGAGTTAAAACTCCCTAAACCCGGCCAACAGATGCGGTAAACTGGTTAAAACCATCCAGACATATCCGTATCCCCAGGCCCTCAAAGAAGGACCAACAAACATGAATCAAGATGAACAAATTACCAAAACATTCTATAAATGCTCTATATAAAATAGATATTTCATAAATTCTCACGATGGGTGTGCCTTCAAATTGTGGCCCACCCTTTTTTACCATAGGCTTCCCCAGTAAACATTGGATGATTAAACATTGGCTTCCCCATCAAAACCTTCATTTGAGCAGTGTTTTTTTGACTACTGGCTCCATGTTCAACCCCAAAATTGCCAAGAAAATTGGTAAAAGTCCCAAAATAACAATGTTGCTCCATTTGTCTATAGCTACTGTTACTTGCAGAGCCAAATGCTAGACACGATTCATTCGTTTAGCAGTCCCCAGTTCACATCCCCACTGCCTCAGGTTTGCCACGGAAAAACAAGCTCGAATGAGAAAAGCGGAAGTGCTGGGTGATGTTACACGCACACACACACACACACACGGCGGATGATGTCTATATAATAGATTTACGTTTTTCAAAGATGGCTAACTATCTGATTCATTCTGATCCATCCTGCATCTTTCCATAAATTGAATGAACATGAATGCACAGTCTACTGTAAACACTTTAGCCTTGGCGGAATCTTCAGTGTCTTCGGCTTGGAGTCGGCGGAATATGATATTCCTCTGAAGTCCTGACTAAGGGGGTAAATGTCTTCATGAGGAGGAGATTGGATTCCTACGAAATTCTACGCTGCAGTTAAGGCCCTTTACCAGTTATAAGTACTAACAAAACCCCATTTATAGAATGTAAAATCCCATAGAAATAACCAGTTATAACTCATCAATGGCCATAACTGTGGCTCTGTCCAGGCAGTGACGACTGGACTCTCAGCCAATACGCCGCGGCATCGCCGAAGATGCGTAGCCAGCAAGCAATGGAGCGCTCATCAGGGTAGCGTACTTTAGCACTTGAAAACATACAACCGATGCTGGAAAACACACAGGGGTCTTGGGAAAAATCCGCAAAAGTGAGATTTTTTCACATCCCGAAATCATGACATTTTGGGACGAGGAATCAACCGTGGTGTAGCTGCTAGAGCATATTTTCAAACGATCCCAAGCGGCGCGCTTTGAAGTGATGATGTCTTTGATTATTTTTGGGGATCGACTTTTTCCAGAAAACGCTGTCCCTGGATCACTGGATGCCTAAAACGTTGGCAAATCTTACAGCGTTTGAGAACTACAATGAAGAGATGACACAACAAACAACCCTTGACAAATCTCCATCATGCTCTTAGTAAATGATATCGAATGATGTTGGCATGTGTTATGCTCTTAGTAAAAATGATATCGAATGATGTTGGCATGTGGCAGGTAGCCATCCAAAAAGATCTGCTGTCCGACGGAAGGTACCACCAAGTTGTTCCTGACTAAGGGGCGCCACCCAGGATGCACCATCCATGATGCGGGTGCCATAATTGGTGTAAGTTGTTTGAACATGGGAAGAGTTGGCCTCGATTTATTTATTTCAAATTCTCATCTGGAACGTTATGGACTCTCTACTTTTTGGGCTACTGTACTCCATTTTCAAACAAACTCATCTTGAATCCATGGCCCATGTAACCTCTGCGGACTTTTCAGGTGACTTGCGTTGCGCGAAAGATTGACTGCTCTGCTAAAACGATGACTTTGTCCTCAGTGCCAATGCTTTTTGGACCTTTTTGGTGGGGTGCATGCTGGCCAAAAACTGGTGTCATGGTTTTTCCTGGGATTTCAGATGGTACCCAAAAGATCCCAAAAATCAGAAGCTGAGGACGTCGAAGGCCTTACCCTTGCGGGACAGCTACGGTTAAGTGACGCTTACACAGACTTAGACTCCAGCATCATAGGACATGTTACAACCCACATGGAGGTTCGCATTATGAACAGCCGACCGGCACAGTAGCAACGTCACCAACTTTAGGTTTTCCCGTTCCCTTCACAATCTTCTTAGACACCCTCCCTTGTGCTCCAGAGACCTAAGACTGTATTTAGGGTTGTTTGTTAGGGTTGGTTTACACCTCGGAGAATATTTGGAGCACTAGGACCCCATCAAATGGGCATTCTGTAGATTTATCCCACTGGATCCCAACACTATTCCCATCAAATGGTGAATTGATCTTGTGACCGTTTGACCCTCCAATACTACAAAAAAAGAAGGCACAAATACCCAGATTATGGGGTAAACCTGGTAAAACACGATATTTTCAAAGGTGCAAACGGAGGGTCTAACGGTACCAGGTACAAACAAATGAAATTCCCATGGCATTCCCATCCCCGCTCCATGACGCTGAGGACGGTACCATCACTGCGGACCTGAGGATCAAAGTAAATGGAGGGTATAGCTATCGCAGAAGCTTGTTCAGTTGCAATTGAATTGGTTTATATATATATATACAAATATTCATTTATTGTATAAATATGTATATATATATATATATATTCAGATATTCATATATCTATACCCTCCAATATTTTACCGTCATGGAGGTCAACCATGGATTTTTTGGGACAAACAACCATGCGGGCGCACATCCCCCAGTGATCCCAGGTCTATGACTTGATAATAACCAGTAATTGGTACAGGCGATTGCAAGGTCACTTACTGTAGCTCCCGAAGTTGACATTGCTCTAAATGGCCGAAATAAGGAACGGACATGACTCTCTTAGTTAACAACTCTTTGACTAAGATCTTAAAACGTCCCCAAGTTCACAAGTGGGGGTGTCCTAAAATGAGGGTACCACTAAATCATCCATGTTAATGGGATTTTCCATAATAAAACAACCATTTTGGGATACCCCCATTTATGGAACCCCCCAAGTTGACATTGGTGTGTAAAAACATCTTAAAGTGACCAAAGATGCAGTTGGCTCTGGTAGCAGAAACCTGTTTCATCTCGTGAATATGAGCTCAGCCATCTATCGCGGTGACTCCAGCGAACATTATGCATCTGAGTCATATAATGTTAACCACGGATTAATCAACCCTGACTGTATTATAATAGTAACATATAGCAAATATCATTTGGGGGTCATATAACATAATTAATCGTAGGGTATAATACAGCAGTATCGGTAGCAATGTAGCAAGTGTTATTTGGGGATTACCCCCTGCCCCAAAATACTGATACATTGCTATTAAAATGTGTACCACCCCTCTTAAAAAAAAAAAAAACTGGGGGATTACCCATCCTAGCTTAACATTCAAGACCAAATACATCAGTTGCATTTATAGCCCTGGCATGAATTAAGCTAGGATTGGCCTAGCCCACTTCTACACCAGTTACACCAGTTACATGTATTATGTCCAACTCCTAATCTTTGTTGGCACAGCCCATTGACGTCAGAATCGCCAGGTACATGAGCTGCGACGCGTAGGTACATCATCGGTTCAATGGGCTATACCATACGTAACAACATCACCGGAGATTATAATCACTTCATGTAAATTCTGGTTGGTGGTTTCAACCCCTGTGAAAAATATTAGTCAGTTTTGAATATTATTCCCAATATATGGAAAAAAACATGTTCCAAACCACCAACCAGATAAATATATATATATAATATAATATATATATATATATCCATAATTCTCCATATGTTTCCATCCAAAAAACACATTCAATCTCCATGAAAATCGATGATGGGGTTGCCTCCCATGACAAAAACCAGCCTTTCGGGCTTCAAACCTTTGACAATGTGACAATCTGAGCTTTCCAGCAGTTTTTCCGAAGGCATCTCTGCAAAAATCTGCGATGTTGCACCCCTGAGCTGGCCGAAGGATTGGTCGTGGATTCCATGGATGGGATGGTTCAACTGTTTTTTTTGGGCTAAGTTGGTGAACATAACTCCAATTTCACTCGGGCGTATTTCGTAGCTATAATATTGAACTAGCTTTTTTCCATGGGGTAGTTCAAGCACAGACAACTGGGGAACACCAAAATCATTGTAAAAGGACCTTGTTCTAGGGTAATTGATATTAAATGATTGGCATTGTATAAATTCAAGATTACTTGGTAGGTACTTGTTAAGATTTAAGCAATTGATGGCTAATTGATTGGCAGTTGATTGGTAAATGGTGATGCGATTTTTCTGGGCTACACCTCTGGGATACCCTCCGGGCATCACACGTGGCAATGGACCATCCACCATGGCTGGTGTTCCCAGCTAGAAACTTCCATTTGCGATGTCCAATGGCCACGATTCATTGCGGTAATTGATTGGCAAGTGACATGTTTTTTTTCATTCTCCAAACAAACATGATGCGTTCTCACCCGAATACCATCATAGGCTGGATAAAAAATACAAGTTAGCATCGCTCTTTCCAGAGTTCCTTGGCACAGATTACTCACACATATCACTTTTAACTTTTAAGTATCAAGATACTGGAAAAAAACATAGATCACCAAAGATCGAATAATCTATAGATCGCCCCAAAAGAAAAATCAAAACACACAATCATTTGACTCCATGAACAGAAAAAATCGAGAATCCTCCATATAAAATCCATGGAGTATCCATGATATGGGGGTTTCCCATCCATGGATCACAGCTGGTTGGAATTGCCAAGGGGCAGGAGGATCAACATGGATGCCTCTCTTAGGGACTTCACCTCCAATCCTGGCGTAAACAA